TTTTCTAAATAAAAATTTATTTTAGGTTAATACTGTAAGACGTGCGGTCGTACCATAGTTGTTCAGATGGTTAGCGTTTGTTGTAAATTTCACAATACACGAGCAACTCGGGTATCGATACCCGCCGGCAACAATGAAATTATTTTTTTTTTATATTTTTGCAATTACCTGTAAGCCAAGCCATGCGCACTTTTGATCGTACAATACCTACCTTACGTCCGCCAAGCAGTGATCTAATTTGATCAGAATTATGTAAACGTGTGTACCTATGAAAAAACTATTTTTTCGTTTTAAACAAAACCAAAGACACTATGCAATAGATAATAGTATCAAAGACAAAGATATGCTCTTTTATTTTAAACCATAACCTGGCAATGTTTCTTCGAAGAAAAAAAAAGAAATCACTCTGAACTTTCGGCGTTCCACGTGCCGTTTTGATGAAGGTGCTCCGTCTTTTTTATATAATTTTATATTTTTGTCTGGACTAAAAAATAAAGTATTATACTTTTTTATATTCCTTTTAATATAGTGAACACACATATATATATATATATATATATATATATATATATATATATATATATATAATTTGTGGTATAAAAAGTGAAAAGTAAATTGCCAAAAGTGCTTCAAAATCTGGAAGGCCCATTATGGCGGCTGGGTCATAAATGTGTTATTTTTCAAATTCTCATTTATTTTTAGTGTAAAATGTAAGTAAAAATAGTTTTCTTACATATTTCAAATAACTTGACATTGTATTTATTTCAAATTCACACAAAACTATTTTAGAAATATTGTTCTAAATGTCACACAGATAAAATATTATTATTTTTTTTTTAATTTTTTTATATTTTAATATTTTGGTATGAGTAACGAATGGAAACACATAAAACATAAAAATATACATATTTCTAAACATTTTCATATAAATTTCTCTAAAAACAAAAGTGTAGAATTCAAATTAGTAGTAATTTTGTCACTAAAATTGAAGTATATACCACTATACAGCTATACAGGGTAATTTACGTATTTTATTACAATTTCTAGCAATCAAAAATAATTTTATTCGATAGTTTATACATTCAACAAGAATTCCTGTAAGTTTTATCCATAAATATTGTCTCAAAGTGAAAATATAGCAAAATTTGCAATATAGCAAAAAATTTGCTAATTTTCAAATTTTCCCGCCATTACGGTCCCGAGCGAACGGGAGTATAACATGTCGCGCGCTCGCTTGGCGAACAGGTAGTGCTGATTTACCACGTGCTCGGCGGAGAAGGAAAACATCGTAAAGAAACCTGCACGTCTGAGAAATAAGAGAATATTTCGAAGACATATGAAGCTCCCCAACACGCATTGGGGCAGTGCGGCGGACATTTCCTTGCCCTAAAACCCTCTCAGAAATGAAAGGATACCTGAGCCCAGCAGTGGGGCGTATTAAGGCTGTAATTTTGAATACTACCTAAAATTTTTTTCGAATAAAAGCCTTCAATATCGATATATCCCACCGTTTGTCTAAAAGTAGTAGCATAAGCAAATTTAAGATTTAATCGGTAATTAAAAAAAAAGAATGCGTAAAAAGTTAACAAAAAATATAAAGGTATTATATCGTATGTCATTTCCACAATTAATATGAATTTAATAACACCGTTCTACGTGTTAGAGCCACGCTGCAGCTATAATATGATTGTACTCATTGCGTAGGGCAAATGGGTTGGCGTGACCGGGGTGGGACCACGCTTTCACAGAAAATAAAACGTAAAATAGAAGTTTTATGATGTTGTTTTTTTTTTTTGACATCCTTTTTACTGAAAATAAGGTACTCCATCTTGGGGATGACAACGCATCGGCATTCTGATTCTTAATTGGGATAAATGTAGATGTGTATGGGCCACAGCATCCACTTACCATCAGGTGAACTATGTGGTTTATCACACTTTTTCTACAAAAAACACCCCAAGTATTAAAATCTATCAAGCTACTTAGGCTACAGAGTGTCCCTAAGAAATATACATATACATATACATAAGGATTACAAGCCCTCGGAAAACATTACCCTCCTTCTGGGACAGTCGGGTAACAATCATGCATATAAATAATAAAATATAGATAAAAAGAAAATTATCATAAATTTTATTGAAGATTTCCTTTCAGATACGCGTTATTTTTGTAAAGTCAATTATATTAAATAAGTATTAGGAATTTGTTTAACGTATTCGGACTAATGTATCGCGAAAGTTATAGATATAGATGTTTTTTTGTTTCTCCCAATCTCTGACGACGTTTTGTCGTAAAGCGACAATTATAAACTAAAGAACCTAACCTAACAACAACGAAACAACAAAAATAGAACAAAAAACGAATAATTTATTTAAAATTTTAAAAGATATTTACAGTTTTATATAAAAAAAATATGAAGATGATGATAGGTGACGTGAATTACAATTATTTTTTTTTTAAAAATACCAAAGATAAATGAGTACTGAAACGGAGCCCGAAGACCAAGGTGGCACACCGCGCTTGGCAGTGGTGCTCACCGCTCACGGAGTATGCACAGGCTATGCCTGTGGTAGGTGCGCAGCGCCTGATCTAGGCACACGCAGCGTCTGGAGTAGGCACACGCAGCGCTTGAAGTAGGCACACACAGCGCCCGGACTAGGCACACACAGCGCCCGGAGTAGGCACACGCAGCGCTTGAAGCAAGCACGCACAGCGGCTAAAGATAGCGCGGGCACTAGTAGGTGGAGGCGTAGGCGTGGCTAGACGATGACTTCAGATAAAGGCAGAGGCTTGCAGGATTCCGGGGCAGTGCGGCCCCGGGATAAGGCCTATAGGAGATGCTTCTAGTATGAAAGCCGAAGCGAGACTGACTTTATTGATTGGTTTGGGGGGACCGATTGTTCGGCTTTTATACTTTTTTTTAGAGAGCTCCGCGCTCGACGACGGATCTGAGATAAGAACGGGAAATTATTTAAATTAAAAACAAATTTTTGTAAATGGCCAAGAAGAAAAGAGTATTTTTGTGGAAGTTTTGAAGTAAAAACATCAGACCGGTAACGAATTTGAATAAAAATTGCCATGACAACCAGATAAACAACGATATAAAAACATGTCAAATTTTGGTTTCAGGCTCGTAATAGAGAAACGGCAAGATTTAAGTGAAAAATGAGATATTATTGATACAGAAAAAAAGTAGCGCAACAGCGCGCACGAAGCCCGAAATTGCAGAGTTACGGAGAACTAAATAAAAGATCGAAAAAGGTAAACTCCATCGACACCGATTTAAAAAGTGCTGATAGCGTGAAAATACGAAGTGAAAATGATTTGTTATTGTGTTCTTATGGTTTAAAAACGTTACAGAATCCTATGGAAATAAAGGTGATGCAAAATATCCAGTTTTGAGGTGAATGCAGAAAATCAAAAACAGAATGAAAAAATAAATTTAAAATAGTGTAAAATGATATGTAAATAGCATAACACTACAATTTACAAACAATTTTTCAGTCTCATCACATCAGTCACGCCAAGGGCAAGTTCTTCTTTGTATATTCTGTTAATACTATTATCATCACTCGAGCCGCCTTGGCCTACCCTTTAGATTGCCCCATAGTGGGGATATATTTGTTGGCAACCGTAGTTTATTTTAGTTAGCTATTATCAGGGAGATTCTGCTGCCCATTTCCTGGTTCAGTTTCTCTCTTTTGCCTTTCACGACACCCACAGGATGATTATTGGTCAGATGATATTCTTACATGGCCAATACACAGTTTATTATGTCAACACACTATCATAAAAAACGTGAAGTCACATGTAGTTGTATGATGATTTTATATACGTCGATTTCAATCACAATGTCACTACGGGACTTAAAACCACGTGTGTGTGTGTGTGTTTACAAAAGAATACTATCAATGCTATCAACATTACTAATATTCGCGATGAAAACTCAAGGTAAGCTTACATTAGTAGTGTTAGGAGTGGTTCACAACAAACTAGCAGATTCGTCCTCGTCGTCCTCAGAGTTCGCTGTCCGCACTCCACCATTACGTTACACAGTAGGTGTACGACAGAAATAGGTTAATGGTAGTATCTACCTAGGCAGACTTTTAGGTGGAATAGTCCTTCCACCTAGGTCGCTGTAAATTTTACTTTATGCGAGCAACCCAGGTCAGATTCCAACCGGCACCAAAGGAATTTTAAATTGCTGATTTGGTATTGAACCTCATGATAATATTTCAAAACCATATGACGTCCGCCATTTTCTTGCCCTAAAACCCTAATGAGAGGAGGCTTGTGTCCAGCAGTACGTATGTTTTTTTCTTTCGTGTACATCCGACCGTGCGGCTGTTTTAAATCGAAGCTCTGTAGATCTTTTTCGTAATTAAACGAAAAGATACATATTAACAGCTAAATTATATATATATTGTGAAGCTAAGATCAAGTACCGTTAGAAAGTAAATAAAATTTAATAGTAAGCAATTAAGTGACGTGATATTATCAAAAATAACTTAAAATTTTATGTTGTGAATAGTGACTATGACGGTAATTAGAAGTGAAATAGCTATTGTGACTCAGCATCAGTCCATTATAAAGGACAATGAACTACCTGATTGTCATTCCATTGCAACCACAATATAAACAGAAATTTCGAAGACTAGCGTGCTTAGTCTGCCAACGAGATAGGCTTCAAATCCTCGAATTAATTTTTTATTTTTATTCTTTTTAACACTTAAGTGTTAAAAAAAATTAAAATAAAAAATTAATTCGAGAATTTGAAGCCTATAATTTAACAAATTTTACAAAAATTTTAAAAATTTAATAATTTTACAAAAGCTAGATTTAAATCTAGCTTTTGTAAAATTATCTAATATTTTTTTTTATACAAATTTCATAAAAAAGAAAAATAACAAACATTAAACAAGAACATTAAAAATGGACGGAAAACAGAATAATGACATGAAATCTAGTCGATATCAATCTGTTATATGTGATAAATGCAAATGTTACAGAGAGGCAAGAGATACGATATTATGCTCGCAATGCAAAAAAAGATTCGACTTTCATTGTATTGGCTTGTCAGAAAAGCTATATCGATTAATGCAAGCAGAAAAAAAAGCTGCGTGGAAATGCAAAATCTGCTTAAAAAGCCAAAAGAATTAAAATCTACACGTTCACACACGGAATATAAAAACATCACATTAAGAAAAAAGACTGTCTCAGCAGCTAAACAAACTGCATCACCTAAATCGGAATCAGTTGTAGATATATCATCTCCTCTGCTTGATTCATGCGGGATCTATACGGAAGAAGAATGCGACGAACTAGAGGAATCCTCCTTGGAAATGCTCTCAAAGAGTGAAGATTACTCAACTAATAAAATATGCGAAATGCAGGAAATGAAGGAAGAAATTAAAGAATTAAAAATTAATCTCTCGAGTACACAAAATGAGTTAGAGAATACGATAATAGAAAAATGAATACAAAAGAGAAATAAATAAATTAAAAAAGGAAATTGAGGTTCTAAAGAACATCTGTCAATCTCCAATAATTAAAACCACAAATGAGATAAATAAGGGATTTCACGTCTCACTTACCCCCTCAAATACTTCTAAATATAGCCACGCATTACACTTTTCTCCAATTTCTCCAAAGTAATGTGATAAAAAATGTAACAACATGATAATTTCCTTACAAAACAAGATGAAAGAATCGCAAGAACAATTGTTGAATGCCAAAAAAGAGATTACCGAGATAGAGAATCAAATACGAGAACTTAGCATCAAGCTCACTACTCAAAGGGATAAAGAACAGAATTGGACAAAACTGAAAACAATAAAAAAAATAATGCTTTCACCAAACAGAATATCTTCATTATGGGGACGCAACAGTGCATTTGTCTCGCGGCAGAACTCACTAAGTCAAGAATGAATAGCAGATACGAAGACTACCAAGTAACAGCGTTCATCAAGCCATTTGCATCTACGGAAGAAGTCCTAAAGATATGTTCCAATTTAAAGATAGACACATGATAAGGTAATTTTATGTGTAGGAGAAAACGATGATGATGATGATGTAATGAATGTAAATAGTAGTAAGCATTTAAATAATAATTCTTTAAACACGTAATTAAAATTAATCTGTAAAAAGTTAATAAAATATGTCACTTTATTGAAACTAAAAATTATTATCATTGTTATTTATAGAACGCCTGTCATAGTATTAACATGTTTATTGATTCTTTGTATTACGAGAAAACGTTTCTAAACTATTCTTTTATCAAAAACCATGTTCAGAGGAGCGGATGTAACGGAAAAGTGTTAAAGAAATCACAACAAAAACTGACAAATTGTGAATATAGACACAAGCAGACTTCCATATTAGACTTTTTCTTTCCCTTACGGCAAAATTATCTTTTTCGTTCCACACAGTAACCCAAAAACATCCTCCAATCAATCTGTTAAAGACCTAAACAAAAAACGTGTTATTATTTTGCACCAAAATATAGCGAGTTTGCTCTCAAAAAAACCTTTTAGAAGTGACGCTCTCTGAACTGAAAGACTGTGATTCAGAACCTGATGTATTATGCTTCTCAGAATCATTTAGAAAAAAAGGTGAGGAGAAAAATGCTAATGTGACCCATGAACTGTTAAAGACATTCACACATTATAAAATTATCATCACTGGAGATTTTAATATAAATACATTAGTGGGATTTAGAGCATCGCAATAATTAAAAGATATGGCTAAATACTTTAATTTAACAATTCACATAAATGAACCTACTAGAGGAAATAACTGTATAGACCACATCTTAAGTAATATTAAACAAGCTAAGGGCATGACAATGCCTCTTCATCTATCTGATCACAATACTGCCCAAATATTGTCATTCTCAATAGAAAATACTCATAGTCTACAATACTGGTTCTTACACAAGAGAGACTATTGCAATGAAAATCTTCTAAAGTTTCGTGGCTACTTACAGTCACTATCTTTCTCAGATGTTTACAACGAGAAAAACATGAATGTAGCATTCGATCGATTCTATGATCTTTTTTGCACACTTTATAAATCTTGCTTTCCGAAATTAAAAATTAAAGTTACCAATAAAAATTTAAAGCCAAAATGGATCTCCAAGGGATTAAAAGTTTGCATAAAAACTAAAAGATTATTGCGTTTCAAGTATTATAAACGAAAAACTAACGAGAACAGAGAAGCTTACTTGGTATTCAGCTTAAGATAGAGCTATAGCCCAAAAACATTGCAATATCAAATATCTCCAGAATAGTCAGAATATTTGTAAAGCTTCATGGAAACTCATCAAAGATGTAACGGAAAGCGAACCCCCACAAAATTACTTTACACAAATGAAATACGAAAATATTATAATAACAAATGGGACAAAAATAGCTGAAGTATTTAATGATTACTACGTAAACCCAACTGATGGAAGGTATACATATGATATGTATGAAAAGCGAAAGATACTATCAACGATCAATCATATATCAAAGTCAATTTTTCTTGAACCGGTGAATTCAACAGAAACTACTCGTATTATACAATCACTAAATAATTCCAGCTCATGTGGGTATGATGAAATCTCAACAAAAGTGTTAAAATTCTGTAAAAACGAACTAGCACAAGTATTAACATACCTAATTAATTTATCCTTTGAAACAGGATGTTTTCCTGAGGTTCTTAAATTCTCGATCGGGAAACCTATCTACAAAAAACAGAATAAATCTGAAATCGGTAACTATCGCCCAGTTACATAAATACAGGTGTTATCAAAGGTATTTAAAAAGGCCATGCAAAAAAGACTGCTCAACTATTTAACGAAATTCAAAATCATTACACCGGAGCAAAATGGGTTCCAAAAGGGAAAATCAACTACCGTCGCGTGCTTCAATCTAATACATAATGTTATTCTTGGACTCGATGATAAACAGCGTACTACTGTACTTTTCTTCGATATGTCTAAGGCATTCGATTTTGTAGTTCACAATGTCTTTTTAGATAAACTGGAAAATCGAGGTCTTTCTCACTCTTGGCTTAAAACATATCTAGAAAATAGACATCAGTGCGTAGAAATAAATAGAATAAGCGAGAAAAATACAACTACATCCAATCGTTCTAATTATAGAATAAATAAGTTTGTAGTACTACAGGGTAGCGTTCTGGGTCCTATATTGTTTTTATTATATATAAACGACTTACCGAGAGTGACTATACATCAATGCATAATGTTTGCAGATGATATTTCCATTATTGTTAAATCAAATTATAATGACAATTTAAATAATTATGAAAATTACATTAATAACACAATTAATAATATAGTCCAATATCTTAAATTAATTAATCTAAATGTAAATCTGAATAAGGCAAATTTCATAAATTTTAACATAAAAGGACGAGCAGCAAATATACTTAATGTGCTGTATAAAAACATACCTATTGAAAGGACTACCATGGTCTCATTTTTGGGTGTAGTACTTAACGAGAACTTAAATTTCACTGGCCACATTGATAAATTTTGTAATAAAATTAATAGGTTTGCTTTCGTCTAAAGGCGTTTAACTAAGATAACGACCCTTAGCGTAACTATGTCTGCTTATTATGGTTACGTCGCGTCTAATATTAATTATGGTCTGGTTCTGTGGGGCAACAGCGTTGAAGTAAATAGAGTTCTCATCGCACAAAAAAATGTATACGAGCTATATGCGGTAAAGGTCCATTTGATACATGCAAGCCCCTATTTATTAAGCTGGGTATATTAACAGTCCCTGGCATGTACATATTGGAAATATATAAATTTGTCAAACAACATGCAGAGTTATTTAAGTCAGCTTGTGATATATATCCACGAAGCACTAGAGATAGTAAACGGCTTGTCTTAGACCATAAACTAAAAACTTCTGTCTATCAGAAAGGTTGTTACTGCATGTGTGTAAAAATATTTAATAAAATTCCAAAGCAGTTCAAACCGTGACCAAAAAGTTACGTGAATGGCTAATAAGAAAATGTTATTATAGTATTAAAGAATTTCAAAATGATAATAATATGAATGTTGACATATGATAGACGTAATTGCTGTGTATCACTGCGTATCACTGTTTTATCAGACCTTTATTTTTGATTGAGTGTATTTAAAAATTTTAATTATGATATTGGTGTAGTAAATTATGACATTTTGAATTATATAACTTACATTTAATAACTTGACATTTTAGAATCGACTACCACCTATATTATTTGGTAATGTAAAAAAAAACAGTTGCATGCTGTATCTCATGGCAAAATAGGTCTTTAAGCAAATTATTTTTATTGTAAAAAACCTATCACTTACCCTATTTATGGCAATTAAATAAATTTGAATTTGAATTTGAATTTGAATTTCTTTTAAGAAACCTAACTCCACACTAGGATCAGTATACAAATATAATTTACACAAGGACAGACATTCAGACCCGGAACAATTATTTTTAGACCACATAAACACTGGTTCCGTGAGGGATTCAAACCCGCGGCTCTTATAGCCGCAACTCAACGGTAAAGAAGCCACTGCGCCGTGGGGCAATCAAGCTCCATGGCGCCGTAAACAGAACGCTTTACTTTAATTTACTTTAAAATATTTATAGTCAAGAATTTCCCAATAGTAGTTGGGAGTCAGAAAGTTGGTGTTTTATAACCCTAAGCCCTTGAAAAATTCCTGCACCTGATCTTTCCCTTGGCTATCCTATCAAGTAATGCAATTAAGTTAAAGGAGAGGGTATCTGTTGTTGCGCACACACTCGTGCAATATAACTATTTTCTGCGCATTTGTCTAGCTTCCGTTGAGAACGACCGCTGTAATTGAAATTTGTTCTGGAAGATATTATCATAAACTGTAAGTTGCTAAATATGTAACTAAGAGTATGAATGGCGCTCTATTTCGAAAGAATTTATCGTCCATAATAAATGTTAATTAATGAATTCGAAACGAAATTTCTTGGACAACTTTGAATCAAGCTGACGAGTTGTGAATAAAGATAATTAACAACACCGTTTTGTAATTCGTACCGTGTACTACTTTTACATAATACCTGATCAAGCGACTATTCAGCAATGTTTTAAGCTTGGTACTGTACTAATATATTTCTTATATTCAGTTGATTATTATTAAATCCACGAAAAAGATATTAAAAGAGTATGTTAGTACTGAATCCAAATAACATGTTAAGAAATTGTGTGATAAGAGAAAAGTGTGATTTGCAAGATAATGTAGTGATCAGGATTAAGAAAAAAATGCTACAGTGGCTTGGTCATGTAAAAATAATGAGTAAGAAAAGTGTGGCAAAACTTAATTAAGTAGCAGAAGTAAACGGCAGAGCCGACAATATACGCTCTAGACGGGCCAAATTAATAGTACCCTTAATCAATGGGCATGGTTGCGTAAGTATATGGATGTAAAGTCATATACTTACGCATATGT